TACAAAAGCCAAAAGTTCTAGATACTACATAAAGCCTCAAAAGGAACTAACACACCAACCTAGTGAAGCAACTGTGACAACAATTTTCTAACAAGAACCTCAATTTGTTTGCCGTTGCCTCATTTGATGAAACAGCAAATGTCATAGACAATAGAAGGATAAATAAAAAATATTTTAATAAGAAGACAAGTAAGGGGCTTTTATCACTTCTGACCAACGACGCTGACAGAATTTAATCAGGAAATCATTATCTTTTGCGGAAATGCACTCAATGACACGATGAAATTCAAAGACAATATATATCTTACTTCCCTAAAATCAATCATTCAATAAGAAACTTACCAGCATTTTCAACATCAAATCTGTCAGACTTAAACCAGGGGCAATTATTATACTTGTACAGTAAAGATTTAACATAGGAGTTCAAAGGAGAAGAAAAGTAAACTTACAGAAAGAAGAACTGCAGTTTCTGCACCCTGGAGATCCTTGAATGTGACATATGCAATTTGAGATCGCTCATTCTCACTAGAATAGCCAGAAAAGTAACTTGCATAAATCCACAATAGACATATATCACTCATTCTCACTAGAATAGCCAGAAAAGTAACTTGCATAAATCCATAAAAGACATATGCAACAAGGAGCTAATATTGCATCAACTGATTTAATTTCTTTTTTTGATAAAAACTATTTTTAAATTCTCAAAAGGAAGGTTATTTCTGATTTCAAAATATGCCTAGATGGTAAACATATAGAAGAGGAGAGAAAAAGGAAAATACTTTCTAGTACAAGCACTAACCTCATCATCTCAACATATTCAATATCCCCGGAGAATGAAAAGAACTCCTTGATATCTTGCTCCGATGCACTCAGAGAAACATTGCTCACTTTCACTGTTCTAGCCTATCATGATGAACAACAAGAAATGAATAGTAAGAGACTTGACAACATAGGGGAAAAGGTTATGCATTTTATATGTAGATTTTTCTTTTTCTTTTTAGAAGGTTAGTGAAGAATCCTGTAATCTTGCCGTCATTAAGCAAGACTTTTCTCACTTGTGGACTTACTGTTATGGAGGAGTAAAACCTGAGGCATTCAGGAATTACACTTAAGCTTCTTAGAGTCATAACTGTAAAATGGGCGTTACCACATATTATCAAAATACACCATTGAATACACTTTCTTTTTATAACCATGAAATCCCCGAGGCTAGTAGCACACATTTTGAAACTCGGTCAATAATCGGCACACTACAGAATAGGATATTGAATTTTACTCTTCTCATAAGAAAATCAGTTTGATATTCAGTCCAACATACTGTCTATCTTTTAGAAATGATCTTCATTTGTCCATTTATCATTCTATAGAAAGTAATGTCTCAACCCTTCGGGGCGGCCCAGTGGTTTGGGCTTAGGACTTCCATGTTAGAGGTCTCAGGTTCGAAACCCCTTGCCAGCAAAAACAAAGGGTTTTGCCCTCTGGGTCGAGCGGGGTACCTCTCCTAACCCAAAGGGTAGCGGCTGTGGGTTTCCCTTGTTATCAAAAAATAAATAAATAGAAAATGTCTCATATGAGAAACTAAGGCCACCACAGAACATTGTAACGGACTAAAACCGCAAAATTTGAGAAAGAAAAACATACATTCATAAATCGTACTGGACTAAAACCGCAAAATTTGAGAAAGAAAAACATACATTCATAAATCGAGTTATTCGAAAAATACACTTCGTCGCCCAATAAAGGACCTTATTGCTTCTCAATCATCGGTTACAAATGAGACTAATGATCTGGAATCTAACAATCTTCCAAAAGCATTTTAATCAACATTTCTAATGCAATCCACTTTTGTAACAACAAAAGCCACTCACGTACGAATTAAACACTTCCACTACTAAATGCTCGAAAACAATAAGCAGCACTACATTGCAACATATTTTATCTACCAAATCCAAGTAATAGGGTATCACTGTGCAATAACAACTACCGACACCCTAACCTCACTACAACAATCAAAATCTAGGGTATTTCAATCGATAACAATTACAAACACATAGCCAAACTGCTAAACTCGATTAAAAAAAAAACAAATTCAATCAAAAGCAAATCGAATCCAATAGAACAGTAATTCATATATTCTTAACAGATCAAACTAATTAACAACTATTAAAACCAAAAAAAAACCAGAAAGAGATGATGAACTACTCACCGACATCGAATCAGAAGAAGATCAGAGAACCACAATAGAGTTATTTGAAGCAAATATATTTGTAGAAATTGAGCGTATGTGAGTTACGTAGAAGAAGAGAAAAGAAGGGTTGTGGGTTTTAGGGAAAAAGTGGTGTACTTCAAAAACGTCAACGAGTGACGTGCGAGAGGGAGAAGAGAAATGGGAAAAATGGACACGCTGTTTTCCTTTTCGAGGTTTACTTATTATAAATTATTTTTTTCTAAACCAAAAGTAACTTTTCTTTTCTTCTTACTCCTTGTAGAAAAAAACAATTTAAAGGGATTTTCCTTTTTTCGAATATAGGGTGTGTTTAGTACCGACGAAAATGTTTTTTATTGAAAATCTTTTTTTGAAAAATAAGTAGATTTTAAACTTATACGAAAATATTATGTATAAATATTTATGTTAATCATCATTATTGGCACATATAATAAACTTCAAAGAAGTAACATATTGTATTATAAATTTATAATATTATCCATATGATATGAGGTTTCTAGTGTTTATCTTGTTTAATATTTATATTCATATTCTTTCTCATTTTATTTATTTATTGTTAAATTGGTTATAAATCTATTTCTCTCTTTTTTTATGCACAAAATTATTAAACTATTTTTTCGTATATTTTGTTTGTAACAAATAAACTAGATTTAAGCATCAAATGTCAATATATAACAATATAACAGTCATAATATTTTTTGATAAATATTGCAACTGTTGTGAGGTTTGATTATATGGAATGAGAAGTTTTTTCGCTACTTATTTATTTACTGTTTAATTTTTTTTAAAAAAAAATGAAACTTAAACAAAAAGAGTAAATTCTTTTATATCTATCTCACTTTATATCTTGAAACACAATTATTAATATCGAAATTTATAAAGCACAATCATTAATATCGAAATTAGCTATTTACTATAGGTCGTATTCTATAAATTTATTACTAAATAAAATTAGCAATCATTTTCACTATTTACTTATAAAAAAAATTTCATCATCAGATCTTATTTTTAAAAATTCTTTTATAAAAACTTAATATGGTTTCTCCTTTATTTATTTAATAACCCTAAAAAGATTTATTTTTTTTAAGTATTTGCGAAAATAAATTCAATAGAGATAAAATGAAACTACATGATCAATCCACCAATCAAAAAATAGAAAATTCTTAAAAATAAATTCCAAAGAACAATATGTTTAATTACATAATCTAATCAATATAATCATAATTTACACCACTATATTAAATTAGTTGAATAAATATAATATTAACCATGTTTAGAAACTTGAGAATTTGATCATTTTGATCCAACTAATAAGGAATTGGTGAGAACAAATAGTTAATAAAGAAAGAATTAGAGTCAATTGACATTTTCTTTATAATTATGCATATTTTAGTTTATTTTTCAGTGTTTGTTCGAATAGAAAGCTTTTAAGTGTTAACCTATTGAGTACATCGCAAGGAAGGTAATATAAATGGTATATGTATCTTAACCAGTAAGTATTCCCTTTTACTTGATCAGAAACATTTTTTATACTTTTATTAAGAAAATATTTTATTAAACTAACTTGAGATTTTGATATAGATATTTGGATTCTTTCATGTGATAGAAGTTGAACTGAGATAAGCCCATTATTTATCTATCTGTTCTTGCTAGATTTTGTTATGAGTTCCCTCTCTTATTTAACATTATATGCAATTGATTTTAAAATTCCTCTGTGCAAAAGATTTTCATAATGGAGAAGAACCCTCCTACATGTATCCCCTTCCTAAATGAATTGATCAAAGTATGCTTGTCTTATATATATTTTTCTTTATCGTCTAAACGCTAAAATATTTTCTCCTTACTTGCATAACGCCTTATTATTTCGTTCCCAACAATGCTATCACAATTTCTTCCTCAATTCAATCAATCAAGCTATCCCAAGCTTCTTTTTTCTCCCTCTCAACCTCCCTCTTTGCTCCAATCTTACTATTGAAATCGTTTTTTTGGTATTGCTTCATTTAAGTTCGGTCAAGAGAGGTGAAGTTATATAAGGAATGCTTAAAATTGTGAAAAAAACAACTTATTATATTTATGACCAATTCAATTTCGATATATCAAAAGTTACCCTTCAAAATATATCATTTTGCAAAATCTATGACATCGAACTTATTCTTCCAGACATATATCAAACACCATATTTTTACCTTCTATACTAGATGCATAATAGCCTTCTAAACTAGGTGCACAATGAACCCACCCCTTTACCTTTCTCGACTTAAATATTGAACTTCACTTTGTATGATGCGGGATTCAAACCTAGGACCTAAGCCACAAATCCTCCGCCTTTTGTCACTCGAACCTAGGACTTAAGCCACAAATCCTACCTTTTGTCACTCGAGCTACGCCCCCCGGAGGCAATAGTTGATAGAGGATTCTGTCAACATAGAGTAAATATAAGCCCATCACATATTGCGGATTTGTAGAGACGCTCAGCACCAAACAGAACAGTTCTTAGGGAAGACTTGCTCAGTGCACAATAACTCAGCTTAACTTGATAACAACCATCAGTCCAACATCCTGACGCCCAAAAGGAAAAAGACACTTCCTAATTCATAAGTTGCTCGATCTAAAATTAAAATTTCTTCAACTCCACTGCTCAGAAAGAAATTCAAACAAACCTCGAAGACCATTTTCACCCACTCAAAAGGTTCAAAAAGTAATCAACATTAACCAACAAAAAGAAACATAGAGGGGGTACGGAGGGGATTTCATAATATGGTGGAGAAGCTGCTTGAAATATCTAAGCCTCAGAATAACGTCCATTCATATTTCTTGCATCTTCCATCGAAATCGTTGCATTTTGTAAACAATAGAAGTTACACAAAGATCCTCTGCAACAACTTGTTTACATCCCTTCTTCAATTTCTTAATAAGTAAAAGAAGGAACATTTTACTGTTCTTTTTAAACTAACCCATTGTGCCAGATAAATGTACACACAAAAATTCCGAATAAAATACATCAAACTAGTCTTTTAAGATCGCCTTTTCGCTACCGGCTACACAGAGCATCATCATTATTAGTAGGTAAGAACAGTCTTTCAAGAGGAGCTTCTTAATGCAAACCAGTTCAGAGTATCCACCTGACAAAATATTACCACATGGGGGGAGTTCATTGCTCTACATCCTCTAGAAGTTCACCACACTTCAGCAGTCGTGCTCAAGGCAGTAGCACAATAATTCAGAATACCCTGCCTTATCCAAAAAAAAGTTGATGCAGAGAGTAAAATATATGAGTAAACAATAAAAGTTGCAACAGAAGGCACAAAAGGAAAAAAGAACACAGTACTGACTTTCGATGCAACCTCATGACGTTTGTGATACACCCATTTAATGGGTATAATGAGACACACTATCAACAAATCATTTTAGACCCCGCAAAGTAACAAGAATTATATCAAGAATAGACTTTCAAGATACAAACATGGTGTTAACAAATCACATAATGACGTATATATATACATTGAAAGGCAAACAGGAATTATATCAAAAAGATATTTTAAAGAGACCAACATGGTGTTGACAAATTACATAATGACGTATATCTACACATTGAAAGAGAAACCAGAACTATATCAAGAAGAGATTTTCAAGATATCACCACGGTATTGACCAAAATGCACAACCACGCTCATCAGTACATTGAAAGTGAAATTCCTTTAGCCAAGTCAAACATACACCCAATAGGTCCGATATGATAGATAGTGAAACCTTTGGTCCTAAACGACACTTATTTGTATGGAAATTCAAATGATGAGGAAAAACAACCTGAATAGCAGGAGTTCTCCATGATCTGTAATCTGATAGGCTAGCAATAAGCTCATAGTGGAGGACGAAGATTTACCTGCGTCAGTGCAAGCTTTCAAAAAAATACATGCAATCATCAAATTTGGGCAGCCGATGATAGTAACCCCATCTGTTCAGTAAGATTATGCATATGCTTTAATTTATCCCAATCACTCTCCTGAACTCCAAGGAGATCCTCTTCCACGACTAAGGAACCAATCTCATCTGTATCCCCAGTGAGAGGGCTTGCAGGGGTTGCAGAGAGAATCTGGTCCCAGAAAATATCATTAATCGCTGGAAGCTTAGGCATACCATCCAGCAAAACATCCCCATCTGTGTTAGCCGAAAATTCATCAGAGACAATCGTTGTTAAATCATCCAAAATACATTTCGTTGTGTCCATATCTGGTACATTTCCAGTCTCAGGCATATTAACGTCAGTTACTCCAAGAGTATGAGAAAATTCAGGCAAATCATGGACTGCCTGAGAGTTCAATGCATCAGCTTCAGGTAATATGGGAATGTTGGCCTCCCCAGGAACCACAGTAGTGGTTGATTGGGTCTCAGATATGATGGATGAACAAGAGTTGAATGGAAATCCAGAATCTGATATCAGATTAGGCTGTGAAGAAGTTGACAGTACTTCGGAGAGGGTAACACTGGAAATACAACTGGATGCACCGCTACTGCCTAGAGAATTGTTAGGCGGGAGGGGATTATTAGTCAAACAGCCGCCATTTGTGTGTAATCGGTTGTCCAGCCTCCCAGATGCATTTATTCTCAAAATCTGCTGCAGCAACGCTTTTGCAGCTTCGGTCATTGAAGGTTGATACCTGACTACCTGTCCATCTTGCAAAGCATTGACAGGCTTGCACGCAACATTTTCTTCAGCCTGTTCAGGAAGTCTCCTTTTCTTATTAAGCCCAGTAATATGCCTGTTATTGCCATTCTGTTGATGTACTAGTTGAGCTACAAAGCCAGGGCTCTGCATGGCCTTGGCAAGGAACGACATCATTTGTTGTTGCCTGCTCTCCATTAATTGAACGCGCTGCCCAACAGTCACCAATTGGTGATCCGTCTCCTGCTGCTGCTGTCTCAACTTAACCAGCTCCTGCATAAGGACATCCTTATCTCTTTTAAGCCTTTCCACTTCTTCCTCTATTCCAAACTTTCCAACTTCAACACAGGATGCAACAGATGCATTTGGTACTTTGGAGGTGGTTTGTTGATGGCCCTGCAACTGAGAGGGTTTTCGCCTGCTTATACTCTTCAATAGGTGTTTGTAGCCTCTAAGAAATCCCTCGTTCGCAAATTCCCAGCGGTCTGGATCAACTTTCCTGAAACCCTGATTGATGAAGGGGAAAAGCAAACTATAAAAAGAATTACAGTTGCCCGGCAGGTACAAGGAGACTCCATATCATATTAGAAAAAGGCAGAATACATCACAATGGCAGCACTACACTCTGAAAAAACACAAACTCTCTGGTCACAAACAAATCCCTATATCCATCAATTACTCAAAAAGAACTTGACAAGCTCTATTACTTGCAAAAATTATAAATGGATGGTTGATAGGCGTATGAATATAAACAACTTTGCCTGGTTGTTTGGTGCATAATATAAACTGAGGAAGAGAAGCCAAATTGTGCCCAATTGAGAGAAAGTGAACCTGCTGGCCTGCTTCTGCATAAGCTCTCCACCACTGTCTAGCCTGACCTCTGGCTGGAAAGTAGTGAAGTCCACTCAATTGGACTCTAAAGACCCATGTTATGCAATATCTCCTAGCAACGGTCTAAGGAACTCCTGAGCATCTCAACTGCAGGATCACATTCCATCAACTATGTTGGCGATTAGGTATGTACATAAATAAAACATTACTAAATTTTGCGACAAAATGCCTTGGCTCAAAAGCATAGAATAATCTGTGATTTGATCTAAAACTAATCTACCTACCTATTACATGATACTACCTTTGGTACATTTACTAAGCTACTTCACAGGAACAAAATAAAGAAGACAACTAAGGGGGCAGAGGGAATGATGAGGAGGAGTAAAATCATGGGATAAATTTTACCTCATCTCTCTGCAGAAATATTTTCATATAGTGAGGTTTATAATCTCCTTAACCAATTCAATCAATCCTAAGTTTCCCCTAAAAGACCCATCACAATTTGAAATCATTGAGATTAAAATCAGAATATTACATGTAACATCTTTGCAATTATTTCTCTAAAATTGGCACTGCTAATTTCCTTTATCCTTGATAAATCACTTCCAGAGAACACTTGAAATAAACCTATCAAATTAAACAATCTCTACTATTCCTACAGAAAATTGTCAAATAACCAACTGCACAAACTGTTGAGGACCCCTAATTTTCTACATACATTATATATGTTAAATCAACTCATAATCAGTTCATGCACACATAAAATTTGCATATTCTGATTCCAAATAGCAGGAATAACCGCTGCATAGTAGAACTGTAACATTTTCAATTATAAAAAAGCTTAGCCTAAAAAAAAAAAAAGCCTACTCTTAACCAAAAAATGATTTTGCAGAAACACAAAATTTTACTAGTTGAGGAAAAAAAACTGCAAATCAGGAGTTTAAATATAAGCAAAATTGTACTAACATAAGTATTCAACTGCCTGACGAAGCTGGAGAAGTTGTTGTGCTTGAAATACTTGGGCAAAATATCTCTAGCAAACTCCGGCACATTCAAAACAACAAAGCTATTGTTACTCTTACTCCATGACACAACAGAATCCGTCGATGGATCATCCACCATATCATACGTCTTGTTCAGAAAAGGCGGTGACGTCAAATTCCCCGCCACCGTAGCCTCATGAACTCCGTCCATTTTCCACTTCAGAATTGCACAGCTTTCTCAGTTCAATCCAGCGATTCACAAGCTCCAGATAAACACAGATACAGAGAAAAGTAAAAAAAAAAAAAATTATGCGGAAAATGGAAGTATCGAGATCCGGACAGAAGCAACTAGTAGAAGGAGAAAGAAGAAAAAAGTGGGGACTGACTTGAGTGACTGGCACCAAGCGGTGGAAATAGAAAAACTGGAGCACGGTAGAAGGGTCTTGAAGCGGTAGATTTGCGCCAACGAGGCATATTCTTTACATATTTTATTTTTCGTCCTTCAAGTTTATGAAAAATGTTTTAAATAGCCTATTTAGTTGTGAGTATTTGCGTAGTCATCCAAATATTGTATAATTTTAATTATTGCACCCACGGAGTTTGAGAAACACTCACTTGCATTTCGAGTACATTCGTTTATAGTAAAATTTAAATATTTATTTGATTTGAGTAGGTTTGAATTATTAAAATTTTAACTTTATTAAAAAGTAATTTATGTGAATAATTTTTTATTGCCACTCGATTCACATTATCAGTCACTGTTACTAAATTATTGTTATAGTTAATTATCTCAATTATCGTCAATCATCTTTGTCATCGTAATTACCAATGCAATCACCACCGTTACTAACAATTAGTGTTAGACAACGTTATTAAATCTACCGCATCCATCACTGTAACTGTATTCATTTGCCATTATTATCATACATGACCACCATTATAAGCAATTTTTGCTATCAATCACCTCTACCATCACATTTTATTACTACCATTAACACATTACTATCAAAATCTTCAACGATTCACTATTATCAATTGTCACATTAGTCACTGCAGTACCAATTACCGCTCTATTTTTCACACAACCAACTCCAACCCAATTCTCTATTTTACTATTAAAAAGATTTTTTTTTTCTCTTTAATATTATATTACTATTTCTATTTCATTTTTGTTTTCTTATTTGATGATATAAATCATTTGTTTTTTATCAATAATTACTTTATATAATTCTCATGTGATACAAAAATTTATTTCTTTTTCAATTTTTTATTTAATTATTATATTTTATTCATAAAATTTAAATATCATAAATTGCATGAGAATATTATATAAATTAATAAACAAACTTAAATAAAATTGAAATACGATAACATAAACATTACATAATCACTCAATTTTTTGAAATTATTATATTGCTTTCATAAATGCTCTATAATGCATTACGGAGTTTAAAATAATAATTTTGGTGTTAATTTTATTATGTCTAACTAAAAATTGTTCAAACCGGAGATTTTAATCTAACACCATTTTTATTGTTGGACTTGGAGCCTCTACGACATCTTGAATTGGTGCATAAGATCACGTTCATCCGTAATTATCACGTTGTGCAATATAATATATGCACTTTCTTTCTCCGAAAATGTGATGGACTTGCAATAATTGCAAAACCCCGAATTCTCGTTCAACGTCTTTTTGACATCATTTTTGTTTCATCATGAATTAATTATGATGTTATTATTATATTTTATTTGTATTAAATTACTATGTTATGTATTGTATTGTTATCTTGTATTTAAATTAAATTTTTCATATATCATTTAATTTTATGTATTCTTTATAATGAATATTAGTAATAAAATAAAATTTTATTATTGATGAAAATCATAACAAAATATATTAATATGAAATTAAAGTACTATATATTAAATAATCTATTTTTAAAATGTTATATTACATTTAAAATGGCTTATGAATATTAGATATTTAATTAATGAAACTGTGTAAAAAATTGTGTTAATTGAAAAATAATAATAAAATATTAAAAAAGTAAAATAGAGTGGGACTAATAGTTCTTCGAATTTGAAGAACTACCTACTATTTACTCTCTGTATTGAAAAGTGAATAGTAGTTTCATTTTCCATACTTTTTTTCCTTGTGGTAAATTTGGGTTGAAATATTGCATCAATTTCATAAAGTGTTGAAGCATTCAATGCGAGTGAGTTTTACCAATTCTTTAACTTTAAATTTCAAATTTATGGAATATCAAAACTTTCTTGGATGGACTTCCTTATTACTCTTCTTATCAATCATCGACTGTTTTTAATTTCTATTAGAATAATATTTCTTTCGTTAAATAATACTTGTCTATTATATTAAAAATAAATATTTAATAACATTTATTTACTTTATGAAATTTATAAATAATTTTATATTTAGCTCATAATTTAACTTAATCATTTCTCTATTATATTTTTCAATATATTATATTTACTATATTTAAAGAAAGATATAATAAAATTATTTTTCTATTAAGTTTTTTAGGAGTGTATCAAAGTGAATAGTGTACAACTATTGTGAGAGAGAGAGTATAACAATTTTGTTCTTTAATTTAGTTGACTGATATCTTGACTTTTTGTTTTGAATGTGTATATTAAATTTATATAAAATTGAATAAATATATCCATTTATTTTACTTGACAATTTTATATTTTACGTGATAGTCTATTTGTATTATATCTATCACATATCACATATGATATATATATATATATATATATATATTTGTGTATATATTTAAAATGACTTAATCCATCAGTGGCCTTCTAAAATTGGCATGAGTTTTCAATTAGACACTTTAACTAGACTTTGTTCATTTAAGACATATCAAATAAGATTTCAGTGTGTTATTTTGACACTTATTGCGTACGTATCACATAGAGTGTATACACTCGTTTATTACACGTAAAAAACTTATTTAATCAATATTTAATTATTTTTTTAAAAAAATCTATTTCGAGATTTAAATATTGAAATAGTCATGAAATTCTCTTTTGGAGGAATTTAATATTGTTCAAACTCTGCTTCACTATAAATGCTTTATTATTATTTTTTATTTAATTTTGATTCAATTTCACTGTTTTGTTATCTATTAAGAAGAGGTTGAATCCAGGATTTAGCTTTATTCTTCTGTAATAAATGTATCGTTTTGTAAGCAGTGATTTTTGGTAAGAATTTCAAATTGAATATTTTTTTTTTTGTAAGAGTTCAAATTTAAAGATTTAGGATTTTTAATTTAAAAATTTTATACTTTATGAACAAGGTGCATTTTTACAAAATACTCCTTTCGTTTTAAAAAGAATGATACTATTTTTTTTTGATTTGTTTTTAAAAAATGATTCTTTTTTTTATAACAATTTAACTATAACTTTCCACGTGACATGTTTAAGACCACAAGATTAAAGAATATTTTGGTATATTTCACATAACTTTAATTTAGAATCACAAAATTAAAAAATCTTCTTTATTTTTTTTAACTCCATTCCAAATCAAACTAGGTCATTTATTTTGAAACGAAGAAAATTGTTATTTTAGAGAAGACAATGAGATGACTGCAGAAATAATTTTTTAATTACTTAAATATTTTTTTTGTGTAATTATGTGGGCAGAAATACACGTGTCATTAATTTATTGTAGGAAAAATTGTACATAATAGCAAATTAATAATCTAAATTAAATGGAATAGCTAGGGTTTGATTTAATTGTGCTCCATAGCAAACATTAGCTAAAATTTGCCAGCGTCTCTCTCCCAAAAATCTCGCTCACCACTTTCCATTCTCGCTCGTCTCTCTCGCTTTATACACAG